AAAAAAAAAAAACAGAAACAGACAACAAAAAATGTCTATTACTCACCAAAAACAGCGCAGTAGAAAACAGTGCAACATATATAAATATTATAGCGTCCCTACCATAGTAATGCACAACATGTTATTCTGATTATACATTAAATGTCTTTTCATTAAATTATTTAACATTTTTTAAACTTTAAAGAGTGCTAGGTTGCTCTCAGTAATTCAGTTTGCTACGGTGAGCAGCTTTCAGGTAAAAATATTTATTTATTTTATCATACATACATATAGTATACACAAGTTTTAAAATCTACCATCCAGACAAAGTCCTCAATGCCATTATTGAATAGTACTGAAGTATAGTAATGAAGTGTTCGTATACAGTAACAGTTTGACTAAATTACATTCACAGTTCATTTGAATGATTTGAACAGTACTGTACTGTACTAGATACAGTACAGAACTGTACTTAACTGTACTAGATAATTTAAGTGAAGTGATTACAACCCTTTCCCCTATTTGACTGAACTGCTGACAAACTAACTCTCAGAGTTAAATAGACTGAGGGTTCATATAATTTATACATGACGGGCCCTAAAGAGAGATACACTGTCCGCTTACTGGTGTGAGAAATAAAGAACTGGGAAAGTACCAGTCTTAGTGTCTGATCAGCCAGACACAGACCTGCTGATCAGACATCACTGAGGAGATTTCTGGTTAAAATGATTTAGAACAAAGATATGCTTATTTTTTCCTTTTCACGTCAAAGCTAGATGAAATGAGCCACCTGAAAAACTATAATTCCAAAGCTAATTAAAGTGAAAATGCCAAAGGAGGGTTATCCATCAAAGCTGATTTTCTTACTTTTCTCAAGGATATCTAAGACACTTTCAAGAATTCATTACTGTACAGTTTTGCTTGGCAGCGGCTTTTTCTTTTTACCTTGTGGCAAAAAAAAGCATATTAATATTCTTTGTCGGTGCTATATAACCTGGAAATGTTTATGGTGATAAATAAAACATTGTGATGTTTTATTCCCTCCAGAAAAGCACATCTGCTGCTGGTAGGGATTCCTTTAAAATCAAGGACACTTCAAAGAAACATATGTACGCTGACATGTGACTTTGAATCTGTTTGTGGACTCACTACTCTCTGTATTTTAAGGGAGTAGTGAGTGGTTTTGAGGGGTTATGTGCCAGACTCTTGCCAGCAGCCAACATATTTACTGAACAGATATGAGAGTGGTATTGTCCTTAATATGTAACGTCTTATCTATCTAAAATATCAGAATTTTCCTAAAATGTAAAACTATTAGTTAAATGAAAATTAATCACTGAATTCATAATCATTAATCATTACTCGTATTTTAGTTTTCATTTTCCATTGAACAGTGATATAAATCACGCTAGCAGGAAGTTAATGTTATAGGCCTGAAATGATTAGTCAATGAAAAGAAAGTTAATCCGTAATGTTTTAGATTCAATTGTTTAGATTAATCATAAAGCAAAAGTGTCAAATGTCTACTGGTTCCAGCTTAAAAAATGTAAGGGTTTGCGTTTTTATAGCAGCCATATATTGTTGTTGTTTGTATGGTTGTAAATTGAATATCATTGAGTGTTGGACAGTCGGTCGGACAAAATAAGCAATTTGAAGATGTCACATTGCGTATTGGAAAATGACTAACAATAACATTTTTGGATTAACCAAAAACAGAATTGGTGGTTAACATGGTTAATTAAATCTTTAGTTTCCCTGTTAAACCATCAAATTATTTTTCTTTTCAGACATTTCGATGGCCCATTGCCAGCAGGCTGGATGGAAATGAGATGCTGGAGATCCAAGTGTACAATTACAGCAAAGTCTTTTCCAACAGGTAAGGTATTACTGCTGTCTCTTGTCCTTAAGCCACATTTACCACAACAAATAGCATTTCAGATTGAACTGTTTGTGGTTTCAATGCCCTTCCTGCCTTCCTGTCACAGCCTGTGACCAATTCAGACTGTCACACAGCACATGTTTCTCAGATGAAGGAGAGATAAGCTTGTATTCCCTGAGAGCTTGTTCTAAATTAACTCAATTGTATGTGTATTAGACCCTAAACCACAGAGCTGGAGGTAATGAAACAGCATTAGACCCCCAGTAATGGGCACATTTGTCACTTTACATTCTCCAAACAATCAGATCAGGAAAAACACACTTTAGTGGACAGTGTAACTGGGATCACATCTTGATTGTGTCTTGTGGTGTGTGTTTGATCAAATCCCAAGCTGAGGAGGATGTATTTCAATTATGAGCCATTTAAAGTTTTTACATTAATCACCAAAGTGCTACTGAGCAATGCAATGACACTCAGTTCTGCTTTAAGGGTCCTACACAGCTCTCTAATTACTTCTAAGAAATCATTTGTGTGGTGGCAATAGTGGAAGCTGGCTAATTAGGTAATTTCCCTCTGCTCCTCCTGCTCATCATCGTCTTCTTTTTTTTAGTTTCTCTTGAAGTGTTTTTTGATGTGTCCAGATCTGGCGAAACGCAGGCTGGTTTTGCCAGGAAGTCTGTCCGTCTCCTGTCCGTAGCAAATCCAATCAGCCAGCTGTGTTTAACTGGACGACTGGTTGATGTGTCCAGACTGAGGACACATTATGTCACCCACGCAGTCATTAAAATGTTGTCTCTGTGGGTGGTAATGCATGTGTGTTCCACTGTCCATGTGTGAATGTAGTTGGCTGTCGTGTAGGTGGTGACACATTCACTTACACAGCCGACTCAGACCTAAAAGCAGGTGACATGTGTGCAGACAGATGTTGTATCAGTTCTACATCAAGGCACGTTTTAACTGTCACCATGATTCTTCTGGTGTCACTGTATGAAAGGGAAACAGAAACCGGATTTCACAGCCACACATGACAATTCACAGAGGGTCAGAAAGTGAAGTAGTAGCTGAAGCTGAAACTCACTTTGCAACCCAACTAACCTGATAATCAGACTGAATTGACATTTCTCTTAATTGTTCAAGCCAGCCTTTTCTTCATATTCTGACGCAGCTAGCGTGGCTCTTGAGATGGCAGTGTTTGTCGGCCCACCACTTTGGTCCAGACTGAAATATCTCAAAAATATTTGATCGACTAACATACCATATAATTTTGTACTGACATTCATGGTCTCCAGAGGATAATACCTAGTGAATTTTTGTGTCTTAGCGAAATAATAGTATGCAGACGATGCATTCTAATTACTTTGAGAATCTCTTTACTTTGTGTCTAGCTCCCTTAGCAGGTCAAATTTCAGTGTATCCGGATCAACATCTAATAGATGGATTGGCAAATTGAATTTGGTGTCTCCCTTTCTTTTGCTCTAGTGCTGGTGGGGTTCACATTTGTACTCTAATAATTAATATCTAACTATTCATCAGGTCAAAATTTCAGTGAGTACAATACTTTGGTTTATGACCAAATGCCTGCAAAACTAATGACAGCCCAATCGGCCTCAGCTGTACTTACAGGAATTAGCAAATGTTAGTATGCTAACATGCTGCTAAGTTTGCTATGGCTATCTTTCTGGCTCTGTGACAGATAAATGATGGCCCCAGTCTAAATCCCTCCTACAAAAGTCCCGGCTGGCCTGGTTGTTTTTGCAATTGTGAAAACAGCTGTCAAAAAGTGTAACACCATCAGACATACCACTGAAAAATTTAAGACTAGGCAGCAGTCTGGAACCAGGCTACAACGTGACACTTGATTTTCATCATTCTGTAAATCAAACTTAAAGTACTCAGGCCAGTTAAAGCATATGAAGTACAGTTTTGAGCACAGAAAGGGATGGATAATGTTTTCCATTATGGAATTAAAGGGAAAATAATCAAGAAAAAGAAAGGAGGAAAAAATGGTGTTACTATTTTTAAACCAGATTCAAATAAGAAACTTAACCTCAAATGCTCATGCACAATAGAAGTTCTCTTGTATTCAAACACTAATCCACACACACATTGAGACACAGCACAAACGCACAAGCCCAGGCATACAGTTTTAAGTGGGTAAATAATTCAAGATGAGTCGATAGCTTGTGTTGTTCTCACACCTGGCTCCATTATGTCCACAGGCGAGGCATCATTACCAGGGTAAGCTGATCTGTTTGTGCAGTCACTTGCTGGCAGCCCAAGGCACACAGTACTGTGAAGGCCAGTGTGTCACACCCTGTGAACCACAAGTGCGAGTGCAGCATTTTCCGACAGACACGAAAGAAAAAACATCGATGCATGATGCGTCCTCTGTGCTATAGTATAGTATATTATATATATATATATATATATATATATATACCGTGTTTTATTATCTCTTTCCCCTGTGGCTGAGAGATATGCTTTTATATTCTGCACACTAGAGAACACTGTGTATGAGTTACTGAGCACTGGAGCAAAGAGGAGGTTATATGATATTTGATTTAACCTGAGGTCAGTGACTCCCAGGGGTGGGTCCATGGATGAATATCAGGGTCCTTGGAATTAGAATGGGAATTACTAATGGTATTTTTTTAATCAGATGTTTTGAAGCTAGCTCAGTTCATCATTAGCTCTGTCACTGTGTCCAAGTTGAGGGGCTGAAACCATTTGCAGCCCAAATACATCCCAACAAGGCAATTATGGCATGCCTGCACCTTTAGTTTGGATGTCTGTGAGACAAGAAACACCCATTTCTGGAGGGGTTGTAAGCCAAACAAGTGTTTGAATCACGGATCCATTTTGATTTGAATTAATTTTGAAATGGATCACGAAAACCATGCCAATGTAGAGGGCTCGGGGAAAAAAATGAGAAAAAGTTGAACCTTGTTCAACTACTGCCGCAAAACACAATGTGATGTTATCCGGCAAGGCGCTGCATTGGGCAATACTTCCAAGCCCACATTTCTGGTGGATTACATTGTGAAGTTAATGCTGTATTTCTTTCGTTTACCCCTGTTTGGCATTGAAGATAAAATACTTGCTGCCATGACAACTTTCCAGAGTGGTAAAATTCTGTCTCAGAGTTTTATAAACCGTTTTATAAGCCTTCAGACTCACAGATCTATTTCTTTCTGTCCTGGACTGTTATTTCATATCTCACCACTACCTGAAGCAACACGCCCACCAACACCCTTCCTTGCATTGTTTTAACACAGGGTTGTTTTCAGTCTGAATGCCTGCTACAGAGACCTCTGACTGAGGTATATGTCGCTCCTGTGGACATAGAAGTTCTGCAGTATAGCCCGGTGCTAGGTCATGAAATTATATAAAGTTTACAGTAAAAAATGTAGGGAGGAAATACAGTTGGCTCCAATGTAGCCAGTGGTAGATTATGTGTCCCAAAATTCAACTTAAAAGCCTGAATGGCTGCTGAGTTTAGGACAGTCTGGAGCCTGAAAGCTTTTTGGTTAGACAGGGAAAGAACAGTGCAATGGTCCAGGCATAATGAAATGAAAGAAAAGCCAAATTATGCTGGTACACAACACTCATAAAATTACATTGTAAAATGGGAGCGATAGTATGTGAATATTTTTATCATTTTTTCATTTTATTAAAATGTGGTGGGTGTTCCCATTTCAGTGGTTCGCCCCCTTGGGAGAATGTCATTGATTAACACAGGTATTGTAACACCATTTATCACAGACAAATTCATAAATCAAAGGTTAGATCACAGCAGCTTCTACATTTCCTCTTGTGCCTGTACCGGATAAGTACAAGGCTGAGTGCACTAATAACTGCAGTAATTCTGTGTTTTATTTATATAACGTAATTCTCATCAGTACGGCCCCAAAGAAACAGTCAATTGTGTCAAGACAAATATCTCTGATAAACAACTGTTATTTTCTTAACAAGGTGTTTGTGCAATCACACAATAAAATATTAATGTGAGATGGATGAAGATGAGGTGTTTGTTGTGGAGCTCGCTGATTGTTTGTGACACTCCTGCACACCTTGATATTATTATTAAATGAGATAAGAATGAATTAACCTCCAGCTGTTTTTGGTGTTATCTGCACATCTGCCTTGAATACTAAGAACGTACTGTTTCTGTCCTGCTCTGAAGACAGAATTACTGACACTGATCAATCAGAAAGAACAATGTGTTTTTAAATTATGGTGGTGCAAGCAGAGAACATAAAATCACTAAATCAAATCAACCCATTGCCATTTATTTTATTCCCTTCATAAGTTTGTGTTTGTACATTTTTTATTTAGCCACAGGACATAGAATGGTAGCCCGGCAACAGTGCTTTTTCAGGCTCCAAAAGTATATAATCCCTTTATGCTGTACATCTGGAGACTCAACAATTTATTGCTTAGTCTTTAAATGCAAGCTTACAAACATAAACCTTGGCTTTCCTGTGCCTAAAGCATTGGAATAAACACTGTGGATTTGTACCTTTTTTTTTAATTTATTTTGTATTTCAAACATAAACACATTTTTTGGTTATTCTATTTTTCACAGACATACAGTATTATGTCTATTCATACAATGACTTTATTGTACTTTTGAGCCATGCTAGTAGCTTGGCTCTGGGGAAGATTCAATTCAATTTTATTTTATTTGTATAGCGCCAAATCATAACAGGATACTCTTCAAATAGAGCAGGTTTACTCCCTAAAAACTAATTTATAGAGACCCAACAATTCCCAGGATAAAGTGAGGATGTCTATTAGTCCACCACTTTGGTCCAAATTGAAATATCTTAACAACTTTTAGATGCCATGAAATTTTGTGACAGACATTCATGATTCCCAGTGGATGAATCCTAATGACTTTAGTGATCCTCTGACTCTTACTCTAGCACCACCATGAGGTTGACATTCATGGTTCCCAGTGGATGAATCAGACCTCAGATGTAATTCCCATCAGGTTTAGATGTACTTTGTTTTTACTGTTACTATTAGAAAATGTTAGAATGCTAACACACTATAGTGAACATGGTAAACATTATACCTTGCATGCCTCACAGAGCCGCTAGCTCCTGTCAGTCTGTTCATATTCCCATTAATAGATATGATATACTATACTACTAACAATATTTTCACAGATTTAGTAAGTTGTAAGTTGTAAATCATGGAGAAGAACTGTTTTATGGCAATATTGGATGTAAATACTACAGTATGTTGATGGACATCTACATTGAAAAATATTTTTTTCTGCAGTATGTCATTTAAAAAAAAGCCAAAATCCATTATTTCCTTTTTTTGTCACTTTCTACAGACTGAAATAAAAAAATAAATAAAAAAATGGTCATACTGCATTTACATATAATTCTTAATGTTGTTTTGGCCCAGCTGTTGTGAAGCTGCAACAATGCTGCCTGTAGGAGTGACGTCAACAGTACATCCAAACCAGCATGACACAACAGCGTGTTTAGGACAGCGAAAAATGACTCCTAATGGCTTCTTCTCCTGTTTGTAGTTAAAATATTCTATGTTGCTTGGGTGTGTGTGTGTGAGAGAGAGAGAGGGAAAGAGAGAGAGAAAAGGAGAGACATTGGAGTATCGATTGTGCCCCTGTGAATCAATAGATACTTATCCTTGAACACTAGTGAAAGACACATTTGCTGAATCTTCTTATGTTTTATATCACTGTATGTCCACTGGTGTGGGACGGCACTTGGCTTCTCCTCAGCTCATCAAAGGCCAAATCACATACACCTGTCAGCTGTAACATTTCCATTTCACACTGTCCTCCCGCTGAGTTACCGGCAGCTGCAGTGGATTAGTGTAACCTTGAGAACAACTCTGTTTGACTTGGAAAAATATTTTAAAGCTGTGCTCACCTTTTCTCAAATGTACCTAAGCCAGAGATTTCTTCATAGTCATGCCTCGATTTGTAAGAGAAACTTGAGGCTCACAAAGAAAAATAATACAAATTGAAAGGGAAGGGAGCTCTAAATTATAAAGCAGATGAAAGTAAATTGTTTGCAGAACTTCAATCAATAATGAATGCCACCTTTTGAAGTGCTAAAAAGTGAGCCAGAACATGATAGGCCCTGCTCAGTTCAATTATTCACCACTTGTACACACGTTACAATAGCTGAAAGGAAATGACAGACGATTTGCACTTCTAAGTAGCCCTGGACATATTGATCACCACTGTCCAGGGAAGGAAAGAATGGATTATACTGCAGTGAGTAAGTGTTTTCAGTGATATTGCAGGAGTTTTTGTTCATGTTAAAAAAAAATTGTATAAAGCACAAAACCATTGATATCCTTACAGAGCTTTTTGATTGATATTGGCATAAACCCTGTAAAGTCGAGCATGGAGTTATTCAGTGGGGAGCCTAGCAGATATGCACCTTCACAGAGAATGCATCTGCCAACGCCTGAGGCGAAGCACATAGTTTTTTTTTATAACTAGGATTCAAAGTGAAGACAAGTTCTGGAAACCTAAATTTACCCCATTATTAAGTTTTGAAGCCCTACTGACAAATGTAGCCTCACTTTCTACTGGAGCTTGAATTCATCACTACCAACTCCAGAGGACAGAAAAAGTAAAGAGATAAAGAAAGAGAGAGAGA